CCAATCAGTAACAATAAGTCTTTCCCAACGGCTGACAGAGGAGGAATGAGCATTGATCATGACGGACGCCTGAGGCACATTAGCAATTTCAAATGATAATATTTTTATAACTTCGGGTTCTCCCTACGACGACGTTTTCTTTCACCATATATTAGGGGTGTTCAAATAAATATTTACCTACAATAATTATTACTTTATAACTTGCTTTGTTTCAAATACACATTGCTATGCTTTGTTTGAGTACTTCCGCGACCCAACCAAACCAAATGTTCTTTAGATCTGTATTGTTCGTCGGACAACTCAGCAGCACTTGCTATGCTGGTTGCAAACTGAGACTTGCGTGCCTGTCTTCAGAACGGGTCCACATAAACTGGTGTGGTTCTTTCATCAAAAGACCACTACAGAATGAACTTGCACGGTTCTCTCACATTATGTTATTTTTACATTGTCTGGACTTGAAAAGAGACTGACCTCTGAGTTTGTTTCGGCATTTCTTCTCAGAGTAGTCAGATAGGAAATGCCGGCTTCATCTAGTTTTTCACATATAAATTGACGCGTAAAAGTGCCGTTTTATGGCCTATTTGCAAAAATAAATTAATTGTTTCATTGTTTATGTAAAAAAATCCAAACCCTAAATCAAGTGAAGGAAAAATTACTTTTAAGTAGTATTCGATTTAGAGTGCACATTACATCGCTTAATTTTCAAGGTCTTGGCTACTGCTCTGTATATTCTGCTGCAGCATCTAGTTTCAAAGTTATTAGAGTGCCAAAAATGGCTAGTTCACGCTTATTGTTGTCCTATGACGGGTATGTTTTAACAAAGTTCTTAAAAACAGTATTACCCTTTAACCGATTCCGTATAAAATACAAAACTTGATTCACGTTGTGGTAAATATGGTCTCTTGTGGAACGTCAACAATGTTGGGACCTCGGCGAGGGTTTTTAGTCAGTAAGGTCCTAACAAACCTCTTTGTCCTTTTCCGCCAAGGGGACTCTAAAAGGGTTTTCCACTCTGAAGTATGAAAAAAGGATCTATGGTTCAGTAGTAGCTAGACCAACGGTACACAATTCTAGTAATATTATAAACGCGAAAGTTTACATAAGTGTAAATGATGAAACTATACTAAGTTTTAAACTTTCGCGTTTCATATTTAGGTACAACATATAATTACACGGGTATTAACGCGAAAAGTATTTCAATGAATAGGTCTAGATTGAATGTATCAAAATGGCAAAGTCAAAGTCAAAATCATTTATTCCAACTAAACCATAAATAGGTACTTTTGAAACATCAAAATAGAGATTTATTTAGCATAGAGAAATGATATATTATAGTCCTAAATAACACCACATAAGCCTTGTATTGCGGGCAAAGCCACGTGCAGAAACTAGTTAGTCAATAATAATGTTTACAATAACTAAATCGTTATCACTTTAAAAGCAAAGGATAGTTAATTACTTATAATTAGCCATCTTTAGACTTATGTGATGATAATGGCGAATGTTTGTCACGCTTCTACACTAAACAGTTAAACAGATTTAGATGATTTTAGGCGTGAAGATAAATCATGACTTAAGAGATATTTAAAAATGCGTTTCAACTATAGTTCAGGCATCGGGTTTATGATACTAATTTCGAGAGAGATAAGATTAAAAACAGTAGAGTGCGTCACTATTTGTTGTGTTTTGATGTCAATTTTACTCTACACTGTTGGTATTTCCTTTATCATTACTTTCATCCCTAAAACGAATATTCAGAGCGTGGTATGAATAAGGAAGCTCCAAGATATACCGCGAAATTTAAATATAGTATTGTTCTAATTTTGAAAAGTTTGAAGCTCGATATCGTTTAAGAATGACGATAAAACAGAATTCGCAGTACCTAATTGTAAAAAAGTGTTTATAAAATTGTTTATGTTATTTATTAAATCTATCAATAATACTCAGTAAATTAGAGAAGGTGTACAAAATCGTGTTTTCCCTAAAGAGAGAAAGAATTAAAAAAAAAGTTTTACGCACTACCAGACTACCAGTTCTTCTCTACCTCTGTTTCAATCCCCGACCCTCATATCCTTAACAACTCATAAGAGGCCGGCAACGCACTTGTAGCTTCTTTGATGTTTATCATCATCATCATCATGTAGACCTTCTGCTCATTTATGCCAAACAATCTGCCTTGGAACATCTTCTATAAGTCTCTTTTCGACAGTAATGTTAATCTACCTATGTCATAGAGACCAAGGCAAGGCTGGCCTATATTTAATATTGTAGTACTAATTAGACCCAACTGTAACGAACTGTTACTCAATTGGCCATTCATAAAATTGAGTTGTTGGTTACCCATCCTATGGCTGACCGCGCTAACCGACGCTTTACGTCGAGGGACAGTGTTAGTCTCTGTTATTGATCGGGCTTGTTCCGTCCCTGGCTAAAGCTGGACTGTCAGTTGGCTGTAATGGCAGATCTATGGGGATGGTATGGCCTTAAGTCATGTTTTATCTGAATTATTTTTAAAAATTCCATAATTTAAATTGTTCAAGATTCATTTGTTTTTTTGACCAACTGTATGTATTTCATGGTTTTATTTATTTCATAGGAAGCTACGTTTTTATAGGATATATTATATCAAGTAAACAAGAAGACTGAAAGCGGTCAATTCAGAAGAGTTACAAATGCATAGCCCTTAAAAACATTATTATTATTGCAACTTCCTTTAATTAGTGTGGAAAACGAAACAAACAAGTCTTTTATAAACCAACATATTTTGGACACCCTTTACGAATACTGAAATGTTAACACCATCCTGTACATACGGTATAATATATGTAAAGCACAATTGGACCTAAGCTCCAGATTAGATGTAAAGCAAACTATACACACATATAAGTAGGAGTTAGGTGTAGTAAGTATGTATACATATATGTTTATATGTACGTATGTATGTAGCTGCCTCGCCAGCACGCCACGTGTTTTTCGTGTAGCTCGCTCGACGTGTCAACCTGAGTAGGTAGGTAAGTAGCTACCTCGTACCAATGCCAACGAGAGCGGTGCTCCATACGTTCACACTAAATACTAAACGTCGTGTGTATATTGGATATAATTTGTGTCTCGTTTGCAATTAAGGGCGGCGATTACTTATGGTCTGAGATATGTCCTAACAATGGCATCTCATACTGGCTCTTTATACTCCACAGGAATTTTAGTTTTAGGCATTCGCAAGACATTATATTTTTGTAAGTAACTTGTTATCCACACTCTAGTGCGACATCTACCTCAACAGATCTCCACTCAATTAACGTAATGAACCTCCAATTTAAAATGACCATTTGCTTTTTCGACATCCCCGGCGTGAAAGAAGCAGATTTAGCAAATCCTAGTTGGAAGTCCCGGGTCGACTACTCCAGCAGGGAGCCACCCCGTCACTCACCCACCCTCCCAACTTTCACTCTCTTGTGCGTCGGGGATCTCGACCCTACTCTGGATACAAAATGCTTTTAACGTCCCACCAAGCGCACGGTAGAACAGCCCTTACAAGCACAACCTTTAAAGGCGAGTATCGCATGAAAGCAGATAGTGCGAGGTCGAGAACATTTGAGCGATGCGTCTAGGGCGTAATAAGTGTTGACATATCGCCATGGAATACTCGGCCATGTGATGTAAGCAGTAAGGGCGAAGTCCGCGTGACGGGATAAGTGTTACACGCACAGTGTACTGCTGCTGAAGACAACACCGGCGAGTACCGGATCCCTCGTCAGCGGGCAGGCCGCGCACATTTCACGAATATTTCATACGCCGCGCCTGATTTAGCGATTAAACAGTATGAATATCTCTGTACACAGTAGGTACGTAGATAGTACGCTTCGATGACACGTGCGGCCGCGGCACGCTCACAGGCAACAACAAAGAATTACCACGCAATAACAGCGCACAGAATAAGTAATTCATCCTCCATTTCTCATTAACCACTTCTGACCCCAATTAGGACACGGCGCCGACTACAACGACGGGTTCGATACCTAAGCGTGTGGTGCTACGTGAGCACGGCACTACCTACTCGACATCACGTTACCACATGACATCATTGCCACTGGATCAACCTCTAACTTCCGTTCGTATCAAGTCGTGTGGTTTGTCATCGAGCAAACACAGCTAGCTCACATCTAAGCAGTCGGTTGTTGTGATTGCGATTGTACCGACTCGAGACGAGAGGTCAGCTGTAGCATCGGTGCACGTAATTTATCAGTTAGCGCTATGTACAAACAATTAACATCTGAGCAGTCATTACAGCTACAGATAAACATGTACTTGGAAATTGTTAATCATTGCAAGTAACGACTAAATATCCGAGTCTGTAAAGTTGGGGGCAACTAAGTCTCTACCTACAGTGTAACGACGGACTACAACTACAAGTGTTTAGTACAGCCGGTACAGTAAACAATAACAAACAAACAGCAGCCAGTTCCCGGTAGTGAGAGTCAGCGCGGTTTGTGGCAAAGTTGCTTATTGTTAGTGTGCAAGTTGTGAGAGGACGTTTCTGTTGTTAAGAACGACGCAAGAGCAGAGCAAAGACAGAGCAGAAGCCGAGGTCGGGCGCGCCCGCGTCGCCGACCGCACCGGGCGCGCGCTTCTCCCGACCGACCCTACGGCCCACACGATAAGGCACACAACGCCGCGCGCGCTCGCTGACCTCACCGCACCGCCGGCAAATAATAAATATGTAACACTGATAAAAGCCGCAGAAGCGATGACCGGCAAGTATTTAGGGATTCTCGTTTGGCAAACACGACGGGTCATCGCGCCCCCGGTGCCGCTACGAGGCCGCCAAGTAATAGTCGTTGCCGATGTACAGCACCGGCTGTCTACAATAACTAGTCAACTCGAAGAAGTTGCAACACGAGTACCTAACTCTAAAGTACGCGACGGCGGGTCCTGCAGCCGCCCCCGGCGCAACGCTCGGTGGAAGCGAAAGAAGTTATGAAAGTCACGTGCGATATACATACCTGCGTGTGGAGAGGTGTGTGTTGCCGCGCTCGAACAGCACTCGTGTCGGAGGCGCGCGGCTGACTGGCGGGCGCCGGGCGGCAGCACGACGTCGCCGCGGCAGCAGCGGCCCCCGCCCGCGCCCCGCGCGCCGCTGCATTCTGTGCGTGCGCCCGCCGACCGCCGGCCGTCGGGAGAGCCGCCGCTCGTCGCTTCCACTGACATCAGCGGAGCCGCCTGACGCCTCCCCATATCTCGCACGCACGCAACTCGCCTGTCACCTCTGCGTGACCCTCGCGACCGACTAGCCGTACCGACCTCGCTATGTTTCAACGTGTAGGTACCTATAGGCAGTCCGCCGACCAAGCCGTCGACGATTCTAATTACATTATGTCTGCTTATAATATTCCAATTAACACAAAACAAAGGTGAGGTGGATACTTAAAGCTATGTTAGCGTGTTTACGGCAAGAATCGGTTGAGTACAGGTGTGGCGGTCCCTGTGGTTCGCCACGACTCCAGCAGACTCAGTTGTACGCTAGATGATTGAATAATGATATAAACTCATGCATTAGTTTCAGCGCAGACAATGGCAGGAGTGGTAGTCCGTAGTCGCGTCGTATGTGTTTGTTTACATACATATGTACAACAGGTACACACGTAGGCGTCTGTGTGCGGCGGGTACTGGTAACCTTTAGCAAGATGTAGTCACACACTGCGGTTTTATTGGAACAATCTCTTGGAACAGCTGGCAGCGCCGATATCTCTCATTCGTGGGAAATGTAGAGTTTGACTGTGGGCCTATGTAGCCTACTGTTACGTAAGTGCCTAAGTCCAGCACTGGACTACGACAGGGCTGATTACGTAAGTTTTGAAATGCTCCTACTGGTGTATTCTTAGTATTTTCCAATAATAAAAACAATGTTATTTAACATAATACATTGATTGTGTCTAATGTTAAGAAGTGACGGTATCTGACCCTGAAAGATGTACCAAAATATTAGCATAACATGTTGCCTTGTCAAACGCCTTTGTAATTTATATTCGGATAAAAATACTTTAAATTGTCTCTTAATACCTCGATAGCATGCAGTGACACACAGCACGGGAGTTAAGAGATACTCGTTCGATTCCCGATTGAATTCAGTCAGTTAGTCAGATGTTTTTTATTGTGTAGATGGTTGACGTGTTATTGTTTTATGGCATATTGGCAAAAATAGTTTCCATTGTTTCAATTCCTTTGGAGTAAGTAGGTATTATGTGATTGCTCGGCAAACGAGCAGACGGGTCACCTGATGGTAAGTAATCAGAGCTACCCATGGACACCTGCAACACCAGAGGAGTCACAGGTGCGTTGCCGGCCTTATAAAAAGGCCTTATAAACACGTGTGCAGTGGTTATAAATAACGTACATAACGTTTAATAATAGATTTAATCTCCAAAAGCTTAGATGTAGTCTATACTTAATATTATAAAGAGGTAAAATTTGTAAGTTTGTATGTAGGGGTAATCTTTGGAACCGCTGGTCGGATTGGCAAAATTCTTTCACTGATAGATAGCTACAATGTTCCTGAGTGCTATTGGCTATGAAACATCACGCTACGATCAAATGGAGTCGAGCAGCGGGTGAAACCGCGTGAGAGGAGCTAGTATTAGACAAATAGGAAAGTGTAATCTGTTACTAGATATTAGTATCTCTGTCTTCTATCTTATCCCACGTGCGGTAAGCTATAATTCAACTTCCGATCTCGTTTGAAATCATCTATCCTCTTTAAGCAATCGTGGTGATTATTGTTCATCTCTTTTCCGTGTGAGAAGAATCTTTTTCTTGGGTCTTCTCTCTTTCCTCTTTATTTTGAAAGTCAAATGATTTATTTCAATTAGAACAATACAAGAATACTCTGTCTTTCAGTCCCCAAATGAAGCTGTTTGAAAGTGTATTTATTGGTTTCTGTTTTTTCAATCATTTTCACAATCCAATTCTTTGTGATATTGTTGGGTTGGGCAAAATAAAAAACTTTATTAACTTTTAAGGTGAACATAATACAATTATGTCATCATCATAATCATTAGCTTATAAGTGCTCACTGCTGAGTAAAGGCCTCTTCTCACACTCAAAGTTTAAGCAATAATCACCACGCTGAAGGCTGATTGGTGATTTTAAACTTATACTTAGAAATTATAAGTCTAGGTTTCCTCCCGATATTTTCATAGACAGCTGAAACGTTTCTACTTTCTAAAAATTATGTCTCAATAACCAGCCTATGTCTTAACCCAGGATATCACCTATCTTTATACCATATTTCAAACCAATCCACTCCAGCCTTTTTGCTTGAAACAATTGAAAGAATAACAAACATTCATACATATATTATTATACAAACTTTAACATTTATAATATTACTATTGTGATGATAAAAGTATCCCTAATATCCGGATACTTTCAGTAGTTTTTACTTGGAAGCGTAAAAAACATATATCTATCCTTGTATTTAGCCGGGGTTGCGGGGTAAACGCAATGAGGCACCGCGACATCGGCCCAGAGCATGAGAAGGAACAGGGGGGTTTTTAGTCAGTAAGAGTCTGACACTCTCTCCCGCAAGGCCCTGGGCGGGAGAAGTCATTCGATGATTCCCCTCACAAAAAAATCCTTCTATCCAATAAGAAACGTGAGGTTTACATTAAATACTTTACTTCAGCATACCCCAGTAACTTGACGTAAAATATGTTATATTATGTTATATTTTAAACATCGCACTAATTGTTATTGTTTATCACGTAACTGTCGGATAAGAGGAGACCACGCCCTTTCCTCCCGTGGGTCCATGGAAGCATGGTAACCGGGTCAATTGGCCACCCACGGGTACTCGGGTCGTTGGTGCGTAGGTATATAGACATAGTATATTCTTTTACCATATAAGTTTACCACAATCTTCTCAATAAGCGAGTGATTTTTACCTTGATTACGTCACAAACATTTGGACGATGCTTTTAATATTCTTTTTTTTTTTTCTTCAACCTACTAGGTATTTTCTTTTGTGTCGTGGGTGCGTTTACAAATATATAAATTGAACAACAGTTTGTGCATCACAAAAAGTGTTGTTTTGTGCAGTAATCGAACCCGCGACACACTGCAGCCAGTTGCCTTGCTATTTCGCCAATCGTGCGTTCTATATTTGGACTTAAGTCTATTTAGTGACAAAACCATAATCCCCTGACCTGAAAAACTTGGGAATCGTAGTTTGGATGTAGAAAATTTTGAAGATACTGCTTCATCATTTTGTACCAATATTCATATTAAAAAAATATTATATCCAAGGAATAACATCTCTGCTTACCCCTTTAAAAGGTATAGTCATGGTAACGTAATGCTGGCTCTATGGCTGCGTTCTGACAGTTTGAGTACTTGCGCGACCCACCTAAATGTTCTTTTGATCGGTATTGTTCGTCGGACAACTCAGCAGCACTAGCTATACTGCTGCAGTTATAGCCTGTCTTCAGAACGGGTCCACTTAAACTGGTGTGGTTCTTTCATCAAAAGACCACTACAGAATGAACTTGCACGGTTCTCTCACATTATGTTATTTTCACATTGTCTGGACTTGAAAAGAGACTGACCTCTGAGTTTGTTTCGGCACTTCTTCTCAGAGTAGTCAGATAGGAAATGCCGGCTTCATCTAGTTTTTCACATATAATGTGACGTTTTATGGCCTATTTGCAAAAATAAATTTATTGTTTCATTGTTGTTACGTAATGATTTTTTAACATTTGTTACAGTAGTAGGTAATAAGTTTTGCAAGTATGGGAGAGCCACGCTTCGGCTCGACTGGAGTGGTATCACGGCTTCACAGAAAAGTAGCGTACTTATGGACGTTGTATTTCGCGGTGTGAGTGGGGTAACCGGAGGCCCAATCCTCCCCCCACCCCTCATACTCTATCTTCAAACCCCTAACAGCCCACAAGAGGCCGGCAAAGCACTTGTATTGACTTCTTCGGTACTACGAGTGTCCATGGGCGGTACCGATTGCACACCATCAGATAATCCGTCTGCTCGTTTGCCGACCTTTGACATAAATTAAATAGTAATTGGATCTGCGATAACATATTCCACTTACATAAAAACTAACTTATTTACTAAAAATAATAAATATTTAGTTACAATTCTGTGACTGTGGTAATAATACAGAGAAAATATATTTTTTCTTATAAAAATTCATAAAATACTTTTTTCATTTAAGAAAGGGGTCTTGAGTATCCGCTGCTTTGATTTGGTCAAAATACTTAATAGCCTTTCAAATTATTATATGGTAAGTATAATTAATTATTATATATATATAAACACAAATGAAAGTTAAGTAGTTAAATTAAACGTGTAGTCTCCCCCCCTTTTCCCTGTCCCCTGCTTATAAGATTTCCAAGAAACAGTCTTACTTCATTGTAGATATTTTTTTATTACCTGACATAGAAAATTTGATATGAGACCTATAGTTTCAGAAATCTATACTATGTATTACTTAATAATAAAAAGATGAAGAGTTTGATTGTTTGTTTGTTTGACTAATTCTCCAGAGCGACAAATAACTGCGACTGGCTCAAATTGTACAATTCTGACTGCGTTGGATAGTCCATTTATTGAGGACGGCTATAGGCTGTAAAACGTCAAACGACGACCTTTAGGAACCGAGCAGCGGGTAAAACCGTGCGCGTGTAACCAGTACCAAATAAATGCAAAAACTGTATTTACCCAGAAAATTCTAAAATAATACAAGGACTCTCATTTTTTTATAGAAAAATCACAATCGACATCATAACCACGAAATAAAGTAATTTTTCCTTGAAAAAAGAGAGTTACAAGAAAAAAGTTAGTAAAAATATCTGCCGTCTAAAAGTTGTTTGTGTAAGAGCACCCTGCATGAATTGATCGGACGCCATCCTCGCGTGGTATGTTTGCCCACGAACATTTCCCACGCCTAATCCCCTCGGCTCAGCGGTTAATATATAAGGACGTTGCCCGTTGTTTATTACGTTCGATTTCCGAGATTTTCAGACGACATTGTAGCATGTGAATTGAAAGTTTTACAAATGAATATTCAGTGTTAGTGTTTGTAAAGAAAACTCATTTCTCGAATGTTTCAGGGACAAGCCATCAAGATCTGATATTTTCCATATATTAAAAACTCTTTACATGATAAACAAGAAAAATGATGATCAACACTTAATACTTTAAAACATCTTTTTTAATTAATGCTCCATTACTATAGTTATAAAACAAACAGGTTATAATCAGTTGTAAGAAGATAGCACTACACGTGCTGCGCCTGTTAAGAACTCAAAGGCAAAAGTTTACTCAAACGAAACTTAACGCTATTCATCTTACCTTCAATAATAGAGTACATAACGTTGCAAGAAAAATAAACTTAGTAATATTATCTCAAGGTTCAATTTAACTTGACAGTGTACTTTTTGTATTTAGGTACCTACTTATTTTAAAAATAATCAACTAATTTCAATTTCTATTTTGGAATTAATATGAAAGGTAAAATAATCCAATTAAGACAGGCTGAAAATATCGAAAAGAACATTTTATTATAACATATCTACTTTTAAAAAGACCATCAACACATTCTTATCTCAAAAATCCAGACAGTGAACTGTAAACGCAACAAATATCCGCGCACAGATAAAAAAATCCACGATAAAAAAAGAATCTCAAATATTATGCCGTAGCACGTAGCATATATTTTTCGTAGGGCTAGTCGTAGACGTAGTGCTACGAAGGGCTACGAAAATGAAATATTTTCTATTTATTTGTTTTCCTTTCTTTTATTTAGAAGATGTCATTTGTAACTGTCTCGAAATAGTCTAAAAAACATACAGAGATTATTATGAGGAGGATTAAAAAAAAATAGATTCTCAGTAGGTAGTTGCGCGGAGTCTGATGTGGTCGGTTTTGTATTCATTGTGTAAAGTGTGTTATTGTTAATATAGATCAAATATCTACATATTTGTACCAAAACTAGTATCCATCTCTACAAAAAGGACCATGCCATTGTCATTATACCATATACATACATATTATGGTAATTGCAATTCTATTTGCATACGGAACCTACAAGTTTTTACAACTATTGGTACTCCTATCGGATGACGGATAAAGCTCTTATTTACTTACTCAAAATATTTATTCAGTAGATCAGAAACAAATCTCAAGGGTTTATTAATTGCAATACCTACTTTATTCGCTGTTATCATTGAAAAGCTCCTATAGAAATATTTTACAAAAATACATTAAATTTTAGTTTGAAATTCAAACTATAATTTTCTCTTATCTTTGTGCACGTGTCTAGCAACATAAACAAACAGAACAATGCATTGTTATTGTTTACACCGGATTGTTTATTTACATTTACGAACATACAGTGCCATCTGCCGGTTTAGTTTGAACTTCTTTCCTATGAAAGAAGTTTTGTTTGTAACCGTAAGATGGCAGCACTATATGGAAAGAAATATGTTATACTTTTGTAGGTAAATATTTATATAGATAGTATAACAGACTCTAGACAGTCCTTTTATTCGTTAAGGGCTACCGCTGTAGGGTGTTACGCAAGTTAATCCTTGGCGTGTCCAATTACGATTGCCATACACGTGTCTCAAGAGGTGAAAATGCTAGCTAAAATTCTGGTTGGATACACGCTTTTTTGTCATATAAGAAAGTTTTCTGAAACCTAATACATAGCTACATAATGGTGTTTACCAAAAGAAGTAGATTCTAGTAATTTTCAATTTGATTTATTCTGTAAAGAAACAGTTTCATCTTGCAAGTCGCACTTACAGCAGTCTGATGAGCATTATTTAGAATATAGTATCGGGAATGTCTTTGCTCCTCATTACTTATGTGCTTGGCCCTTACGACATCCATAGCTAACAAACTGTACTTTTCAAATAAAGCTGTAACAGTTTGCTCATTACCTCATCAGTCCCCATTGAGTCGGAAAACAAACGCACAGTTTCAACAGGCCGCACCATATCCTATGGGTAATGTTGTAATCTTGAATATTCTAAATACGGCGAAAGAATTACATTACACTGGTCTCTAACATAACAGTAAAGAGTGAATATTAATCGCATGCAAACTTTTTTCAAATTGCTTGCTCTGTGAAACGGTAATCACATCTCATGTAGTTTTAAGTTTTAAGTTTCTAATACATGCAAACCCTAATGGCAACTGGCTGCCGCACAACGTGTCGCGGATTCGATTCTTCTAGTGTTTCAAACTAGGATTTCAACGTCCCTTTAAAAAACACTTAAGTTTCTGTAAAATACTACGGCGACTAATAGCAGACAAACGCTGCTACGCGCTACGCAGAATGGCCTACGAGCTATGGCAGTAGTCATTTGTCGTATTTCAAGTGTTAGAGTTAGGGAAGGCTGGACCTACAGTATACTTACGAATGAGACAAAACAATGCAAGCAATCTTTCACATCCGTGTCCTGAAACCTTGGTATCACTTCAGTTAAGCCGGGCCATTTGTGACAAAGCATAACTTTTTGCACAGCCCAGGATAGGCCATAAAAACAGTCTACATATATTTACTTTTGACTCTGTTGGATTACTTTTAAGAATAACTCTAGATTTATTTCTGCCATTCACATCCTATTCTACTTTATCAATGGTATGTATTTTGTGTATTGTGCACCATTAAGTTCACCTGTTTCCTCGTGTGGCATGTTATACTGCGCTCTAAGATTTTGTCATTTACCATTTACTTCTTGGCCTATCTTTTTCGTTATATTATTTTAACAAAATAACTTTTTAACAACTTGGACAGTTTAGTAATAATATAGCTACGACGCCATTCTAATTATTTTGCATAAGTAGAGCACAGAATACCTTAATTCTCAAAGGAGCCTGAAACAATGTCAAGCTTTGCCAAAATCGTTTTAGGCTTCCGCTGTACCAATAAATCCTTTGGGAATATTCCAGTAAAAATCTTGGCTTGATCAAGCCATGTAGTTAGCTGTAGAGTAGAATAAATTTGTCACAGTATTGCTTGCCAGTGTCGTGTAGTGTCGTGGTGGCCCCGAGATTAAGCGCCAGCTTCTCATACACGAGGGTGTGGGTTCGAAACCGGGCAAGTACCAATGTGACTTTTTCCTAGTTATATGTAGTTTCTAAGATTATTTAGACATCACTGACATGCGGTGAAGGTAAACATCGTGAGGAAACCTGGACTTATATTTCTAATTATAAGTTTGAAATCGCCAACCCTCATTGAGCAAGCGTGGTGATTAATGCTAAAACCTTCTCCGTGTGAGAAGAGGCCTTTGCTCAGCAGTGGGCACTTATAGGCTGATGATGATGATTGTTTTCTTGCTTGTCTTTAGTAATCTAAATAACTACAAAATACGGTAGTGACTGGGCAACAGTTTTTTTCTGATGAACTTAAACCTTAGTGGACACCAGCGTGATCGAGGAGTCCAATAGCTTAGTTGAGGACTATCACAGGCCGTTGCTCATCATTTACGCTTTAGTCATATCAAGCTAAAAGTAAAATATTAGGCTATGATAAACAACGCCTTCCTTTGCAGACATTAAATAATTGTAACGTTTGTTCCACTGGCAGATGTTTTCTTTATTATATTATCATCATGTGGCATAATCGTTGACGTGCTTTTTTCTGAATCTTATCTATGATGTAATTTTTGGAAGTGGTAAAAGGGTATAAAAAGAAGTAACACTTAACTTTTTTCTTAATTTTTATTTTTATGTACAAATAGAAATTCCCTTAGGTAAAATAAACTTACTTAAGTCTTAAATTATGATACTGTACAGAGTTTGTACGACGGAATGCGGGCAGTGGTAGAGAGATCCCGATGTAGGAGTTATGGCAAGTCCTTAAATGTGCTGGTGCTTAATAAATACGATGTAGTACGATGTGCAACCTCTATGGAGTGTTGTTAAAACCGAACGCTATATCTAAGTGTTTAAAACTTAAATTGGTTTGAAAGAATACTAACGATACGTTAGCCAATGACATCTGAACATCACTGTGACGTCAGATGGAGAATTTTGAAATGATCACTGTAATGCAGTGCTTAACTATCGGTAAAGAAAAAACTAACGATAAAATTTTGTCATTCTATATCAATTTATCACTAGAGAGAACTAATGATAGTATTAATTTAATATCAATAGTGTCGAATACTATCGATAAATAACATTGACAGTAAAGAAACTATTGATATAATTACCGATAGTTAGGCGGCAGTACTGTAATGTTTGGTATGTTTAGGGGGATCACAGACGAAGGCCGGGGTTGGTGCTGGCTACGTAGTTGAGGAGCTCATCAGAATCTTCGCAGACGATGGGCTTCTCGTGGTAGCAGGCGACGTCGTGCCACGCGATACCGTCATTGTAAACGTTGTTCAAGATACTGAGGCAAGACTCTGAAGTACCGTTGATATCGAATTCCGCGTTGTCAGGCTGACGTTGTTTCTTGTGGCCAGTCTGAGACCAAGGGTTGTAGCCCCAGCCGTTGGGGATCTGTAAGAAAAAATACATTCGGTTAATCAAACTATGATAAGGATAAAAGATCCTAACAGTGGTCTGTAGTCATCTCGCTACTACTATTGAGCAACGGGGCTTTCTTACATAAATAGGGCGCGTCCGCAAAATTGATGCGTACTATAAGTACAATCATTCAAATTACGCATCTCCATCAATTACTATTTAAAATAATTGGACAAGTTAGTTAAAACATCAATGATATTTCTAACATAATTGAGGTTACCAATAATAAATACCCTCAAACGAGTGCCGATGTATTGAACACTGCACTTAAGCAAGATAACGTAATCCAAGTACTTCAATGTTTGAAAATGCGTAACACCGCAGCTTTCACACATCAAACACGAATTGTACGCGCAGGTGTGTCTTCGAAAGTTTATGATTCAGTAAATAAGTACGTGATGGTAATACCGGTAACAGCAAATTTCCTCTTTACGTTGACAACCATATGAAACGCATTAGTTCCGATCGCAACAAAGAAAATTTACGAGTAGCGCTTACGACAATATGTACCAGGTATTTGGTTCGCTCTGTTACTTAGCCGGAACATGAGAACAAACAGAACTTTCTTTTTGCGAATAACTTTACAAGGAAATTTAATATTTTGTCGAACAAAAAATGAGTTACCTACCCTAGATTTTCTCCTGTGTTGTGAGTGCGGTTACAATCAACAAACGGAACAATTTGGGAATAACTTAAAGACATGTTCCGTGTGGGAATCGGACTCGCAACACGTTGCAACAGCAGCAAATATTGTAATTATATTACAATATCTGCTGTATAATTACAATATTTGCTGAAAATACAATTATTATAATGAAAATACAAGTATTTTCATTTATTAGTGGTATTCTACTGACCTGGGTGGTGGGAGACAGCTTTTCACGGTTCGCGGACCAGAACCATCCGAAGATGTTCTTAGGCTCGAGGTCTTTGCGGTTTTCACATCCCTTGAAGTCACAGAGGCGACCCGACGTCCAGATGTAGGGCACATCGTCTGCAAGAAATTATACATGTATCAGTCAGTGTCATCGTTTTAAAAGGAAAATTTTCTGCACTAATCGTATTTGAAGTCTCTGGTATCAACAATCTTCTAAGGACAGTCTTAAATAACATGGCATAAGCTTCTTGGTACTTAGAATCACAAGTTTAACGTAATAAAAAGGCACAGGGTCACACATCGAATGTGCTAAGATTTGCCATTACACATTTATAAAAATTATCTAACGTTGTTAGTGAAATGTGAAGGTTTCCAATTACGTGTCGCCTTCAAGATACAAGTACTTCACTTGGAGGATGGTCAACAATTTCACAATAATGGCACTACTCACTTTGCTGAATGAGTTTGAAGATTAGATTGTTTTCTTCTTGCGTCTCCATGGAGACCAGGTCCATGCAGTACTCGCGGCAGATGTTACGGCCATCTAACCAGTCTACCTTCCTGTTGGCGAGGGCGGGCACGTGGCCGCTGTAGAAGTAGTTGTGACCTCGGTAGAAGAACTCTTTTGGTCCTAGAAACAAAAGAAAGATGATTGTGAATAATCAAGTAATACATAAACAAAAACATTCGACTCAAGGTTGCGTAGTGACAATTCACGAAACAAATCAATAATAATTTACACCGTATTTCGTCTACTTAGCGAGTCTTTGATAGGACATACGAAGACCGAAGACCCTCAGTGAGACAGGTCAAGTACCTAAGCATCAAAGCGTTGTATCATGGTCGTGACATTGAGGTACCTGCGAGCAATTGTGTTAAATTATCACGAGCCACGCTAGTGTCGCAACGTCTCGGACGTTACATAACGATGCAGGCCACGCATCGTGACCTTTCCTCCTTACATAAAAACGCAAGCAACATATTTCAACCTGCATATGGATAATGCCATTAAAAAACAAGAAAATGTTATATTCCTAAATTAGAACAGCTTTGACTTAAATCACGAATGTGGATCGATTTATAACGCCAGGTAGATCGTCCTTGTGTTAATTTATTTATTTTAGCTTTCAAATGTCATATAATGTTAGACGCAAGCCATTCGAAAATGTACATTTTTCAAATCAATATATTGGATTTTTATTATTGATTGTTACTCGAATTTGGCTTATAATTTAACTAAATTAAGGGCTCATTTTTCAATGGTTAGATAAAAGTTACCTGAGGAATAATTATGATGCTATCGCGTCAGACTTTTTGTATAACACAGTGGCAGTAACAATTTTATTCCTCAGATACCATTTCTCTGACTATTGAAAAATCTGCTCTTAAGTTAATAGAAAAGAGTTTATAATGTGAGAGTAATTGTAAAGTATGTTAGACAGCTATCAGACTGCACAGCAGATGGTCTACACAATTGATAGTTCACAAGTTCAATTACTTAAACACACAAAGGATACAGCTAGTACCTATTTAGCACTGAACGTTTATATACGTTTGTATATAGCTATGAAGTGGAGCTAAACGCATCCACGACCTACATACTTGACGCGTATTTGTCGAGCCACTAACTGGACCGTACGGTGTCAATTCTTTCATCATTTGATCAAATACTGGGCAGAACTGTTGCATGAAGTGTGTTTGTTCTAAGTATATTAGGTATGTGCGGAATGATTTTGGCAGACGATGTTGCAATGACCGCGGGTGGCGCGGCGGTGCGGCGGTTTGCGGCTGCGGGCGGCGCCGCGCGGCGCACAGATGCGTCGGTCACGCGCTGCGCCAACTGGGCCAAGGATCGCTACCGGATGCGATTTTTATATTTAACCAACCGGCTAGTTCACGCCCATTGTCAACGCGACCATCCTAATTATCTGCATTATTAGATGCCTGATATGAAAATTTGCAATTATTTAGCATTTCAGATGTAATGTTTACGCTACATATCACCAACAATGTTTATCAACATCTTGTGTTTGTTTTCCTTATCAACTTTGAACTTACAGTACAGTAACGCTGAAAACATAACGGCAACACTGAGGTAGAAGTTGGTACCCACCTAATGTACCTAACGTACTTGTAAATTTGAATTAAGATAATTACCGCATCTTAGCCTAATCGTGAAGGTTCTTTATTTTTTGTTTTAAAGTCCTATTTAGATGGTAATTATAGTGAATTGCAACGTTATTAGTGTTTCTGATTACAATGTGAATGTGTTAAGGTTCGCACGACAAGACTACGTACACAATGATTGTGTTACCTTGTTAAGTGACAGACAGACTGACGAATGTGCGATTGTCTTCTTAAATCCGGCACGGAGACTACGGAGAGGCTGACATCAGACGCACGAATATCTAACTTGCTTTATAACATCCGCGAGATATAAAGCTTTCATTAAGTTTAAAGAGCCAGAATTACTTGATCGAGGATAAGTATCATTGCTCGAACTAATTTTGTGTCTACTTGCTAATATAGCTAAGGTAAAGTTGGCTATATCTATAATGCCTGAAATTTTAATGAGAAAAAATCGTTTTTTATGGATTTAAGTAAAATTAGACCTCACCTAGAAGCAGTTTGATATCAGCTTCCTTAGTGCTGGATTACTTTTATGTAAGAAATATGTGAGATTTTCCTATCCTATCCTATTCTTAAGACTGATCATCAATTATATATATTATTATGCCTCACATAAACAAAGTTCTAGTCTTCGGCACCAATCCCAACTTCGTGCTACTTACTGAGCATTTTGCAATCGAGAACTCAATAACACTGCTCGACCCCAGAATCGCAACAATCACTAAACCATTATGAATTATGATTTATTGAATCATATTTACTTACAATAAAATTTATGACGAAACATAAGACGAACGAATATCATTCTACGTAATTATAATTAAGTATATACTTATTCTGAGATTATGTATAAGTTTTACAGAAAACGTAGATGAATTAAATAGTTAGATTCTGAAAACACATAAGTAGTTTATAATGTGGATCTGGCATTTATTTATTTGATGACGATGGCATTTGATAAACTTATCATTACTGGGATTTACTTTCGTACTTACTGTTAAAACAATTATAATTCGAATTACCGAATTTTTGTCAACATCAATAAAATTCTGTAGTTTTTACTTGAAGGAAGGTTATATGGATGAAGCAAACATCCATCTAACCATCCATATTAATAAACTTTCGCGTTTATTATATTATTAGGATGTATTTCTTCTGTGAAAATTAATTGACTGTAGCTACATACAAATATGTAAGTTTATAAAACCTAATTTATATTACTAAGTAGTAAAATAAACTTTAACACGCATTCAAGAAGCAAGACAGGAAGCATTTGCAATTAGAAACAGCTTCGTGCACTTAAAATTCAGTAATAACAAGCTTAAGTAGTAAATATGTGATAATTTATACTGGCTGTAAAATGATGCGAACATTAGTTTTATTCAAACCAACTGAGAACATGTTAGGAAGCATTTGATTGATAAATATACCTACCGATAAATTTATAGAGTACCAAAATATAATAAGTACTTATAATTACTTGAGTTTCTACGAAGAACTTGACATAGTCATAAAAAAAAATCTCGAATAAATAAGGTTTTACTAATGTGTTGATTCTAATATACCTAAATGTAATGGTAAGAAATAGGTTTAGTTTAGACTAAAAACATTTCAGTTGTATGTTCAAAATTATCACGACAAATGCATAGGTACATTTCTCTAAACAATTTTTGAGAATATAGCGCAAGTTTAAAATGAGAAATTCTGGATGAAATTATGAACTTCAACCGTCTCAATGACGACGTACGTACTAGCATTATGAACACAGGCTTAATAGCGAAACTGTCTGCGCTATAATTAAGCCACCACTCTTCCTGGAAAACTACAGTGGTATCGTTTCACAAAGGAGTTTCTATATCGCCAGTATGGTGCAACAAATGCATATAAAATAAGTTTGTATTTATTCAAGTATCAATTTATGCCATTAAGGTTTATAAATCTAGAGGTTTAGGTTACTTCATCTACATACGATACAAGTACATTCGCAAATGCACAGCTGAATTTCGCCATGCCGCGCATCAAGTAATTTTAAAGCCGTAATTTATCTTTATGTGCCAGGGATATAACATAATTTGAAAGTTTTACTGATGTTACAATAAATAAATAATCTGTTTATGCGAATATCATGCGGCGTTACCTGATATTATCTGTGGTTTTGTCCATGAACTGTCACATTTTGAACCCTTGAACTTAGAATGTACCTATACATTGGTTTAAATTTCGAATGCGTCGATACTATTTCAATTCTCACGATGACTTTGACTTTGAAATGGTGGACGTAGAAATTAATGTTAGATGTATATCTTACAAAATAAAAAGGTTATTTCGTTTATTTATTCTTTGATACCTTTTTGTAGTGTGTTTTAGAAAATCCTAAGGCGATTTCACATTAAGTCTCGGAGACTGAGTTACTTACAGTTCTAAGAAATACTTCTACTGGCAACTTATTCAATATTTGTATGCCACCAGGATTTTTTAAGAATTATAAAGAAGGTCACGGACTTGTCAGTTGTAGTGTATGTGAATAAATGAAGCTTGTTACATGTCTAACATAAAATAAACGATGACCCTAGCGACAAACACAAAGCTTATAATAATTGCGTTTTCAAGGATATACAGTGTTATGCGAGTTTTTTACATAATGGGACGTACGACGTGGCCTTGTACCTCTAATGAGACACAATAAGTACATCTGCCAGCTGCAGTAGGTACTGCAGAAGAATTAATGCACCAAACTACTTCGGGGTCGAATTGAAAGCAAAATGGTTTTGCAACAATTTGTTGATGAAATTCAACCCCAACGACCTTTGACATAAGCATTATAATAGCTCGTGATGATCCACCCCTGTCCTGCGTACGCTCGATACAATTCCATTCATGTGTATAATGCGTCACATCGCTCATTTCTGCTTGTGTGAATAGCCAGCAATTGCGACCGCAGTCAACAAAGAGCTCTTTAATATTTAGTAACATTGCCTTGGTATTCATTACACTTACATTTAAACTCGAAATTAAAGCGGTCTTAAAAAGTGTAAACATTTTTGCAAGAACCACATTAAACTAATTGACACTCATCACCAGTTTACATCAAGTAAGAAAGCCCTAAACGTCAAACTTATCTTGTAAACGAGCCGCTTCTAACATCTGTTTTAATGAACTTTACACAATCCTCGCTAAGACGAAGCTTACAAAAAATAATAAAAGACCTACTGCGGACGACCGTGAGCTCAAATTGAGTCGCATTAGTAAAGTATAAAATAATTAATTCTAGCTTAACGCAGCCCCATTAAAAGCACAGAAGGCGTAGTAAAGATGTCTTGCGTTGTCAAGGCACTATTGCAAAGCAGCCAAAGATAAACAATATACGAGTCGTAAGACACGTTTAGTACTACATATGCTTATGTATTTACCGTCAATAATGCTGCCTACTTACAATGTTTATAAATTATGCTCACATTTATTACTATATTATCTGCAGGCCTATAGAATGCAGTGAAGTACTTAATTACAATACAAGATTCTCTTGATGACAATAATTTGTAAATTAATTATTGTTTGTGTAATGTGTTGTTATACACATATTTTGTTTTGTGATTATGTATATGATTACTACTCTAGTATGTTTAGTTATAATGATTTTAGAAAAAAACTTTTAAAGTTTTAAACTAACGCAAGCCAATTAACCTCTGAAATTTTAACGTCTACTTTTTCAATGAACAACTTTGTTTTCGAATCGACTATCTTTTGTTATTCTCTGGTAAGTGAGACTGAGTAATTTGTCTCAATAAGCAACGACAATAAACATGTTAGTTTTTGCGAAATAGAAAAAGTACTGAACACAATGTTTATTTAGATGTCTCACTACTTTCACATTTAGAAAAACTGAGATTATCACAATATTTTTTGAGTTAGTGCCTATCTGCATAAAAATATCTGCGGAAAAGAAAACTTGGTACGTATGAAACGCGGAACGTGCTTATAAATTATGCAAATCTACAGCTGATGTGATTGAAGAATCTGTGCTCAAGTACTCGACAGTGGTACGGGCTCAACAAGTGTTGCATTCATGGGTATACCCCTGCGTATTATTTAAGCGCAGTTGGTAGGATATAGGGTTGAAAATGGAGTAATAATTGACAAAAACTGCGCTGACTAAAGTAACGATTCTGACATAGCTAAAACGAGGAGGGAGAGGTATTACGTATTAAGAAAAACAACTCAATATCAAACCTCAAGCCATCGGTTAAAATTTATATACTTAATAATATTATTATTAATAAATAAGTAACCGCCGGGCAAAGGATTTTTCCTTCTTCCTATTTTCTCTTTACAATTGTCTGTGGTAAATATTTATTATAGTCTGCCTAACTATAGTGTTGATAGAAAAAAGTAGCCACAAATAGGTTTACTTAAACGAGTTTTTAAGACAAATTGTTTTTTCCTGCTGCGGAACTATATACCTAAATGCTATGATTATACATAAGAATATTTTATAATGATTATACCCTTCGCAATGAACTTTTGGTGTTACAGGGCCACATTTCACTTACTTATTACGTCACACGTTTAACCAAGATTGTTGCATAAATCGTTGGATAATATTAATAATGTGGAACACAATTTTTAATGGCGTCGGGTCTCGTTTCGCGGTTGGCTCATTAAAGGGTCTAGAGGGCCTGGGTAGGGTAGCGAACTTACTTGTGACACATTATTATTAGAACTTATAGAATAGCCTAACCCTTCAATGGATTTTGATGAACATTGGCACAGAGATAGATTTTATCTGAACACAAAGGCTGTTTTGTATACGCGTAGCGCTGGCGAGATTCGCAAAAATAAACTATGACTCAGGGCAGGGAGTCCAGGAATCAAAGAGGGATAAGGACCTTATTCCATGTTCTTGTTAGTTGGATTTGTATTAAAATATTATAAATTAACTGGGGAATTTAATCTCGTCTCATGTTGGTTCAATGAGGAGAATGGAAGTACCTATTACTTCCATAATGAAACATATTTAGACTTTTAAACTACAAAGCACGAATAAACTCTAAATGACCCCAAACAGACACAGAGTTCTGAAATTCAGTCGGACCGCTAAGATAAATTACGTAATTTGATGTAGGTTACTTAGACCTTGCCCTTGAATAAGTTACAACTAAATGTAAACAAATATCACATTCCTAACTGCTAAAATGTTTAACATGTATTTACACAAACGTGTTATTTGAAGAAGACCAGTAATAAAATTGAAGTTTAGAATAAATACTCCAAATATGTCACAACTTTATGTTAATCAAAAAAAATCATACGAAATACAATGGTTGTGTCTATTTTTTTCACTTGTATCTTATGAAATGATACGGTAACTAGTTTTTTTGTTTTAATATTCTAGTGACCTCATCTATTAAGCAGCTGAGTGCTTCGTTGCGTTTATTTAAATGCGTAGGCTTCTTGTATAATTTTCAGCATTTATTCCACATTTTTTTAATGTATATATGTAAATAATTATCGTCTTACATTTGAAGTACTTTGAAAGGAATGTAATGTGTTTATTAAAAGCGAATGTATGTTAATGCGATGCAACAACTTCTTTTGGGCAAATTTAAACTGTGTTCAGTTTGAGTGCTGCAGAAGTCTTTGAATAGGTTTAACATTTTAATTTAATTATTAAATAATATAGTAAAACAAAAGAAAATGGCTACATTCTTATTAAAGTCGACAGTGGCATGTTTAAAACATTTCCGTGTACATTAAACTACTTTAAAAAGAAAAGAATCTCTTGACGAGGAAACGGAAAAGTGCTTTTCCCAATTACGCGACCGTACTTGACAACGGACTGCGGATGGACCTCGAGGGGATAGGAGAAGAGGGGGAAGGGAGCGTCCTCCAACAAGCCCGCGACCTTGCTGGGTCAATGACCCGGGAAAGGTTTTACTTTCCCTACGTAATTACGGCTATGAATCTTCATACTTAGAAATATGAGTAAATCGTGCAATGTTAGTTCATAATGACCGTGTTTTTTTAACCCAAATACTTGTTTTTTCCGTGTCCTAGGTGAGAAGATGAGTAGATTAAATCAAATTAGCAATGTTGTGTTTGTTACCTACATAATTACAAATGATAAAACGTTTTCTCGCTGTCGAGGGACGATTTATGGAAATGCACGCCTGACCTGAGGTTTTGCTAGTATTTTTATATATATAAGCCAGTTGCATGGTTGATTGATTAATAAATTATTTAGGAACTACACAAACTTTCTCTTTTAATGAAAATAGTTGATTTCGAACTCAATATTTAGTCGAGTTTTTTACTCTTCATCTAATTCTCAGTAGCTATTTTTAACCTTTTCATACGTACCTACTGTATTAAAATTTTTTTTAGAAACCATTATTATTAAGATCACTATTTATATGTATAGCCAGGAATGTTTTCTCGGAATTTACAACCTTAAGATCGCGGTTTACCATAAATTAATATTATCATTAAAATCCATCAAGATCGTGTGAAGCGTAGACTAAATAAGTTCAAGGCTCCATTTTACTTCCTGGTACATCACGCACGACATCATATGTTTCATATTTTTTTAAAACATAAAATAAATTTAAAATAGGTCTCTGGTTTATTTTGTCATTTAATTTATTTATATCGACGACAAATACGTTTGTAGAGCTTGTTTGAATATTTACGTCGGACGTCGTTTGTCAAGCTTAAATCCAAAATGGCGAATTTGTCAATGTCCTTTCTGTGTCTCAGAGGTTTATCGAAGATATAAATTTTCTTTGGTCTATTTAATACTTAAATAAATATATAAGCACTGTTTCTAAAACTCCTATTCTCCAGAATGTAAAAAAGTGACGTTAATTGTCGAAGAAGGCATAGTGGGAATAGGCTTGTTTCTCATACGGAACTAATGTGTAACATATGAATAGTCTTTTAGTGTAGCCACTCGTAGTGTGGTAACTTCGGCAAAAAACAGACGCCATATTATGTAAATCTTATTAATACATTAAAATTGCGAATCGTACATTCGACCTAAGTATACCTAACATAAATTAGAAAGGATTTGATGACCCATAGCTCTGTCCACACGTGTTTTACCTACTTGACAAACTGGAAATTCTAATATAAATTATTAATAATAGCTATTAACTTCCCATCAGATGCCTCGTAAATTTTATTGCTATCGATAGAAAAAACGAAAGCTTTAAAGGGCTTGTTGTTCACCTTTTAATAAAACATCACACGAAGATTTAAAAAAAAAATTGGATAGACGTGCGAAATGGGTTTAAAACCCGGAAAATATGTTATTTATTTACTAATCCAAATGCAGACGTTACTTAATTAAAAATTTGAAAATATCAGTCTACATAACTACTACTATATATGCATATTAAAAAGCTATCCATAATCAACGCATCACATAAACCCAGAAAAGACATCGATTCATTAATTTTTCGCAATCGAAATGCGATTATCAATTCCGATATAATCGATTCGTTACATAAATATAATCGGTTAGCCGTATTCGAACAACATTGACATCAATGAACCTGTTCCACTATTTATATCGATTCTAATTCATTCGCTATGAGTAATTATACTTGTTTATTTATTGTTACCATGTACGATGTTGTTTTGATATATGATTGAATAAGAAGATGCCATTTATACTTCTAAGTGTGTAATTTATATAGATAAGGACTACTGATTAATATTTAAGGACTATTTTTTTACACCTGCTTTGTAATTAATGGAAGAAAAATCTAATTTCTAAGTTTTCATTGTTTTGAGTAAAACGTTACGGTATATATGATATAAAGCGTAATTATATAATCTAATGTACTTACTGCTAGCGCATTTCTGGGGGTTGGGAAGGGAGAGGAAGCGTCCAGGTTTCTGTGCTACTGCGAGCGTCGCAAGCGCTGCTGCGCACGCCACCAACAACCACGCCTGCATCTGTAACAAGAAAACAAAATCGTTAAAGAAAACTATGAAAATATGTTTTCTACAATGAAAGATATAATTCCTTCGAGAAAAATATTTATTCTATTTATAAATAAAATTTAAAAATGGCGCGCTAATTTTAATGTCATTCACGATTAAAATAGAATTATATTTTTTTCTGTCTATTTAAAATATTGTTAGTGGCTAGCTTCAATTTGTTGTAATATAAAAACTCTTTAGTCGTATATTTATATTTTCGGCCTGAATGACCTATTGTTAATATGTTTTACCTTTTTGATGTAATCTAACCTGTTTTAAGTTTTTAGCAATTTGAAACACAAAAAATATTTCACATTGCTCCCAAAACAATATCAACAAAAAGAAAAATACTCCATTTATGTAGAAACATTGTTTTGTACCTGCCAAGACTCGCATAACTAAAATTTCGCAAATATATCATAAAAAAGCTTCAAACATTCAAACAATAGTCTATTCACATTCACAGTTAATTACGATTGTCGGCCCATTAATCTAATTATGACGAAAACATACCAAGTTCTTTATCTTACATGTAACGTAATCAGACAGAATGCTGGAGGCCTAAGTGACGCATGCGCAGTAATACCAGCACCGGTCCATTGGGTTATGGCTAAAGAATGTATTACATAAATAAGTTCTGTTGGACGCAGCGCTTTTGTTTTTTTTTTTGCTTTATGGGTAGGTACACGCTACATTTCCTGCAAGTATCGTAAGGGCCGACTAAGGGATTAAGCATTGAACAGAGTCCGAACAGCAACTCTTTGTAAGAAATGAACTTTTTAAATTGCGAAATCCAACCCTGCTGTTAAATGAGCGCGGGATTATGGTGAAGATGGCAAACCTCTCATATGTAGAGAAGGCCCATACTTCAGCTGTGGACTATTAGAAGCTGTTGGTGATATACATATCGCCAATAGGCCAGAAAGAGTTGTAAGTACATTCATGCCCTTTATTGGGGGACGCACCACAGATTAAATATATCCAGAAAAGAAATAAGGCACTTAAAAATTAGCATTAAGTTATATGGGTTTTACATTTCGAACATTTATTAACGTATTTACTTGTGATGGGCGTGCTACTTGCTTACTTCGAGTATTGTGAGTCAAATGTCATAACACAGTATAAACATAGGACCGCGCCTGTTTTCCGTATTTTTTTGTTGACAGTGACATTTCACCTAGTTCTACTCATGGCTTACTCTTTCGGAACACCACAGAAAACTAGCTGGATAAAGTTGTATTAAAAAAATAAATTATATACAATTAACGGGTCTATGGCACATCGCTTAAGATTCCATTTTTAAAAAGCAGCGGCAAATTATTTTGCATTACGAAAGTTACTACGTAATTAGGTAAATCGTGTTCCATTTAAAGATTCGCTGTAAATGAACTTGAAATGCCAACGAAACGCTATTCAAATACAAATAATCAACTGATTAGTCTAATTCTACTTGACCTTAGACATCTCAATGTCTTAATTACACATTTTTAATCTAAACATTAATTATCTATGTCGTCATTTGATATTTTAGCTCTCAAATATTACCTACAACAACTAAAATTTCGTCACAATTATTCTTAAAATTATCCGCTTAATAAATTTGAAAATGGAAATTGTGCATTCTATGATTTTTATTTTTATTCATTCAATTTATAATAGTATTGGTTAAAACAAAACAATTTGTGCATAAGTTTATATATTTTTGGTTTTTTTTTTTATATTCTTTTTTATTTTTAAAACACCTGCCAGTATTTTATAGATCACTACTATACAGGTTCTACTCAATTTTTGTTAACGATCTTTTCCAGTAGAGGTAGCCAAAACAAAAACACGGTATTACATAAGAGCCTCATATCTCCAAAATTCAGGCTTTAATTCAGGTCTGTGACAGTGAGTGACCGGGGCACTGGACCGCATTGCGTGTCGTGTTGAGTAACCGAACCTTTCCCATGCAACGACATACGAGTACACTCCGTATAATTATATAATAAGTAGTTCAGTAACCTTTATTATGCGTAAACAATATCTTTGTCGGCTATCCTTGTTCGCTGTCGTTTACCGTGTCGACTCAATACGTGCCTAGCCTAAAGTTTACTCAATGATGTCACTATTATCACTGTAAGCATGTACTATCGAACGAAACATTGGATTGTTTTAGTAAGGCCCGCCAGTTGTCACATTGGTCAGCCGTGTTGTTCTCTTACGTAAGCCAAGTATGCCGTCTGACGAGTCTCGGTGACATCGCCATGGGCCACGGCAAAGCATGCATGCCAATGAAAAAGAACTCAAAGAATCTTTGACCTAATAATTGGTGTTCGTCGAACGCTTATAAGGAAAAGCCATTAAGATTTTCACGAAAAACCAAAACAGGATATTCGTTAATCAAATATCATTCGGAAAATACCTATTAGCGATTAATTCTCGCTAATTCTTATTAACATACGTCATGTGGATGTTGAATCAATGAGGTAAAGTCTGCGTAAATAATGTTTAGTATAGATCGTGTTGTTTACCCGGAATCGTCTGTTGTCAGGCGGACGGGAGGTGCGTACCGCGCAGACGCCCAACGTGACATATATACCTCTATAACTAGACGTAGATACCGATATCACCTTGACACCATTACTGCCATCACCGTAAGCAGTAATTGCAATCTGATCTCATCAATATACCATAGGACGCGTCATCACGATCGGTAAAGGCAAGGACCGTCATGCACTCTCAGGGTTCCACTTAATTAACTTCCTCTACCTAATATGGATTTTACGCATCATAAGCATTTTACCTCCAATGTGCATTTACCATAAAAATATATTTTTAAGTTTCGGAATTAAATTAAGCAATTTTTAATTTAATTAGCATTTAAAGTATTTCGGCGATGCGCACTTAAATGAAAACGGCAATTAAGCTGAAGTTAAAAATAATATTCGTTATTATCAATGCGCTTTTTGACTACCAAAAACCATGGTAAAAGTCAGCGAGTTACCAACGAATGGCGATTAATGTTCCGTAGATATCTTAAAGTCTTTAAGTATTAAGAAAATCCGCTTACATATGCAATAACTTGTAAAGATAAAAAGGTAATTTATTCCACGAAACAAAGCTGTTTGTATACAATACTTAATAGCGTATCATTACAGATAAATAAACGTCTAAGTGATATTAGATAAATATCAAAGACCTGACCTCAGTTGGGCAACACACACTTATAGGCAGAGACTCGTGTGTAATACCATTACCTACGTACAATAATAGGATGAATGGGGGGTTCTCAAAGCGCCGAAGGCGTTCGACTACGATCGTTAAACAATACCTGTTCTATACAACAGTTGAATGGTATTCTTCGCGAATCTGTGTCCCAATCGCGAATTTAGTGCGAGACTTGCAGCCACAATGTTTCTACGAGATGTTTCGCAACGCCCGAGGCCGACCGTCCGTCAGTTTCGGTCACGATCGTGCACCTTCGTGCATCTCAGCTGCGTCTAGCTTTGGCAAGCGGTGGTGCCCTCCACTCACTCCTCGCCTCATTGTTTCGTACTCACGTCGACTTAATTTGGTTAATGACAGCAATCAATAATAACGTCCGCGACATATGCCACGACTGTGTACAAATGTTTGCCTATAAATTCAGTATTAACTCGAGAACACGCAAAAAGCAAAGGTTTAAGTTAATAGGCAAATAATATTGGCCTTTGTGGTTAATTCTTACGATCTGGAATTAGAATTGTTTATTAATGCGAAATCACACTGGAACGTTAATTTAGTTGACATTTTTTGATAAATACAACCGTGTAGCTGGCCCTTTGGGTGTCATTTCAATAGACTTTCCTTGTACTGAATAACAATTTAATTCTGATCTCTTACGATGTCTATAATCTTTCGTGATGCTTTTTTCTAGGGGTTGCGAGTGCAAACGCAGTGCAGTAATGTACCATCTCCTCAACCCAGAGCAGAAGAAGGAGCGTTGTAGCTGTTTTTAGCCAGTAAGAGTCACTTCTTCTCGCCCTCCAAGGCGGGAGAAGCCATTTGATGATTTAACCCCCTCAAAAATAGTATTTTATATCACAAACCATTCTCCTTGCAGGGGTATATTAGATCCAAAAATAAATAATCCTAGAACTGTACCTACTACATACGGCTATTTTTTAATTTAAACCGAATTATATAAAGTTATGATCATAGATATAAGAAAAGAGTTTTTTATATTTCTGTGGTTATGATCAACTAGTAATATACACGATAAAGCATTTTATGGAACTGTGGGAGAGCCATGCTCCGGCTCGACCGGAGTGATGTGGTATCACTCAAAACCGGACTCAAAAACGGCCTCACAGAAAACCGGCATAAAACAATTACAGCGTTGTGTTTCGCCGTGTGAGTGAAGTCAATCCCTAAATCTCCAAATCCCTAATCACCATAAGGTCGGTCAACTCTTCTGTTACGGGTGTCCATGGGTGGCGCTGATTGCTTACCATCAGGTAATTCTTCTGCTCGGTTGCCGACCTATTACATAAAGAAAAAACTCAATCCTAACACCGCCAGTACGTTTTTCGTATGCATATCATACCGGCCTCGTCTTGAATACACGTCACTGTATTCATCATTCATCGAAGTGAAATTTTTATTGCTACCTACGTAACAGACATCCTTGTCCCCTCACTGCACGTTTTACATAATGCGAATAGACAAGATATTATCATCCAAATTATCTCTGACCCGTCTATTTACTTTATACAACTGTCTGTTTCTTGAACCGAAAAGTGTTAGGTTGGTTGTGCAGACTTATAGGTAAGGCTAAGAAGTTTTTGTTCTGATTTTTTTCTACTTATTATTGGCAACATTTATTCATAATCTCTGAAGCTCCTGTTTGCCAGTTTCACTAGAAACTAGAGAGGCCACTAGGCATTGATTCAAATATCGGTCATAGAATCCGTAAAATTAATCTAAAGATTTCATAAAAGGATGGAGGAAGT